CAGGCCTCTTCCTCTCCACCACACCCACCTCCCTCAATCGGGCCAAGCACAGCCAGCCCTGTCCTCACTGGGGTTCCTCAAGCTCACAGTGGGCAGTCACACAAGCATGTGTGTGGTCACTGCCATTTTATGCCACAAGCTGGCCTGCTCTGGGGATGCAGAGACCACCTGTGTGTCCTTAAGGGCTGAGCACAGCGCCTGACACATACACAGCCTCCAGTGAACGTCACAGAGAGAATAAACTTCTGCCTAGTACTGGGGAACCACACTTAGCCTTAGCAATCGTCTCCTGGGTGACCACCTCTTTCCTTGTTTCCCAACTCCAAGTTCCAATGCCCCAGGCCTATCCTAGAGCCATGATGGCCTGGTTCTGTGCCATAGTCTGAGTAAAGAGGCCTGGCCTCAGAAATGAGGCCCGATCACCCTTACACCACCTCCCCAGCTCCCTATTCCCACCATTAACTCTACACCTGCGAAGCAGCCCCCCGGTCCACAAGCAGCGCCACCAAGGAGCAGATGAGGCCCCTAAGCCTGCCTATCATCTGAGCTTGGGTGCTTGAGGGTTTTAGGGAAACAGGCCAGGCTCCAGCTCTGCCTGCTTCCTCCATACCTCATTCTCTTCCTAGCTGCTCGGAGGTGGCAATGGGAAGCTGCAGGGTGGTCACGGCTACGCTCCTGTCCTCCACATTCACTCCTAATACTATAAGCTTCTTGCTGTCTTCCTGGGCCGTGTGTCCCACTATGGGGAAGGCCTGAGGAAGATGCTCCAAGGTGTCCCCAGCTTCCTCCACATGAAATGTTGGGCCTACCCCTCTCTGCCACTGATATTAAGGGGACCAAGGACAAGCCCGCTCCCAACACGATTGCTAACTTCTGCTGGGCCTCAGAGGATTACTTGGGGCTGTGTATTCTACAAAATCCCCAAAGTTGAGGTTCTGTGTCCCTAGTGCTCTCCACTGCTGGCCACCAAGCAGAAGAATCTCACCTGCTCACACCTGAGAAACTGGGGCGTCATTGGACCATAGATCATGGGGACTGGCAGAGAAGAGGTGCAGAGATGAGCAGAGAGGCCAAAGAAGGAACCCCACCTGCCTCTAGCAGCTCTCCCAGGAGGTTGTTCCTTCCCATGTAGCACCTGCAGGAAAGATGCAGGTCTCCCTGTGGTGTGGAGGCAGGAGCAGGCTGTGGAGAGATGGAAAACCTGGCATAGATGAACACCCCCACAGAGGTGGTGATGGCTCAGCTTGTGGAACACCCAAATGCACCAGAGCATCTGCTGGAGACCATACGCTTACTGAGAGGCCAAAGTGCTATAGGACAGCCATTGTGGGAAGCTGCTGCCAGGGATTCTTTCCAGTTAATTCCACTTTTGGAGGAAACTGAGGAGGGAACAATGAGTTGACACAGTCCCTCAGATTTCAGTGTCTTGGCAACTGCAGAGAGCAGAGTCCATGACATTAGGCCTCCTGTGCAGGAGGAGGGGTCTGGGAGTCGTTCTACCAGCTCCCCCCAACATTCTTAGCCACTGCTCAGTCACAGCTCCCCTCAGTCACCGTCTCAGACAACACCTTCTTCCCAGGATCACACACATTTCACAACAAACCAATGACCAGCAGTTTTTGTTGTTCTTTTTAATTTGGAAAGAGAAAGGGAAGGAAATAAAAATGTTTAAATAACTATTGCAGAAAAGGAGATCTGGGCTGGATGCTGGGACCTACCTCTTCGAGAACAGGGATTAATGGTTTAAACAAACAAAACAAAAGAGAAAGGAACACAAAAGAAATAAATTATTCTGCTCAATACTGTTTGGCATAATTGCATTGTTTTTCATCTTCTAAACACTCAAAGCCTCTTGAGGAAACACTAAGATGAGACCAGCAAGAATGGCTGGTGCCTTGAATCTATGGTGGGGGGAGCCCTGAGAGAGGTACTCTGCTAAAGCCTCCCCAGCCACCCTCATTCTTTAATCCTACTTTTGGAATTGGGAAAGAATAGACTCAAGCTAAGTTCTTGATATATTAATTTTCAGGAGTTCCCACTGCCCTGTCCCAGCCCTCCTCTAACAAGTCCCTGCTGGTCACTGTTTCCCCAGCAGCTGCAGGGACTATACCAATGGCTGGGAGGCTGCTTGGTGTCAACTCACCAAGAAAAAGGGTGATATCTGTGTGGTCACTGTGGGGAAGGGGGATCCTTTTAGTGGTTTGGTAGCTTCACAGAAGCCCTTTCCCCTCCTAAACGTCGCCAACCTTGAAGGGTGAGAATACCATCAGCAGCTTCCTCTAGGGACTTAAGCCGGGTTCAGGCATGCAAGTAGCTTCCAGTTGTAACCCCTGGCTGTCAGCTGGAAATGGAAACTGGGTTACAGGGAGGAGGGAGGAGGGAGGAGGCAGGAGGCAGGTGAGCAGGTGGAGGGGGCCGTCGGCGGGGAGGAGGCATGCAGCGGGGCAGGTCTACTCCTCCCCAGCCAGGCGCCTTTGAGTTCGCACAGCCAGCTGAGTGAGAATTTTAACAGAATCTTTGTTGGACAGCCATACCTGGTAGCTTCGGGATAACTAAATTATGAGCCCAAAGCAAATTCCGCCCCCAAGCAAGAGGCTTCTGCTCCTCTTTGGGGTGATGGGTGAAGGAAGAAGGTGCATGCACCAGGCAGCTGGGCTCCCCACCTCCAGCCTTCTTTCCAGTGAGTTGCTCTCTCTCCCTAGAGCCAGCCAAAGACGTGTGTGTGTGTGTGTGTGTGTGTGTGTGTGTGTGTGTGTGAGAGAGAGAGAGAGAGAGAGAGAGA